CCTATATACAGCCTGTCAAACTTCACCATTCATAAAAATAGAAGTGAAGCTGTTTAAAACACAAATCATGTTTCATAGAGGAGGTTCAATAGCTACTGAAAATACACTCTCATGAAATAAATACCAGCAGTGGCGTTATGAATCTTAAACAAAAGCAGATGGAGTTGAATTTACATTGAAACAAACTAAACAGGCATATAATCAGTAACCTAAATTATACAGAAATCCAAATGAATCGGTAACTTCATTCAAAGTTAAGAGAAAATTGGAATGGGATGTGCATGACCAGATATGAATTTTAGAAATGGGCTGACAACAAAATTGCAAGTGTTCTGAGAAGTCTTTTAAGAGTTAATGAACAGTATCTTCTCTGAAGCAGTTGTAAAGCTCCTATCTACTCATCTATTTATAATGAAAATACACAAGTGGCAAAATTGACAAAACAAAATAAATTTTGAACTTATGAACTTACTTTCAACAGAGATTTATTGAAAGCATGCATAGTGAAAGGTATTCATTTAAAAGAGGTTTTCATTTTTTTTACTGAAATTCCATGTGTTCCCTCAAAATGGTTAACTTCTCTAACTTGATAGTTAACCAATGATGTCTTCAATTCAGCTAGGTGTTTAGTAGACAGAAGTGTTCACAGAAGAGGTCTTCAGTTTTCAATAGAAAGATGTTAACTAGAGGGAGACTTTTACTTCAGAAAGGGGCTCTGTAGAGAGGTATTCATCTGAAATAGATTTTCAACTGAAACAGGTGTTTACCTGAGAGGGGCTCTGTAGAGAAAGGTATTCATTTGAAAAGGGGTTTCAACTGATGGCAGTATTATCTTGAGACAATTTAATAGGCACACAATTTTCAAAAAGGCTTTGATGAATTCTATACTGTACTTGGAAAAAGTGAATGACTTCCAGATCTAGGTCTGCTTCCACAGATCCCGGATAACATTTCATACTTCAACATATCACACAAGACTACTTGAAACTTCCAATTCAAAATGATTTCCACTTATACCAGGGCTCACTTTAACTTTGAAACTACACACGTTGTGGTAGGTTAAAAGATCTTGTGGTTTTGGTTTTAAACCATATACTTTATAGTACAAATATTTTTATGAATGAATGGAACGTTTAAACACAGTGATGTTAAAATTCAACGGATATTTAAAAAAGGGAGTGTTCTGATTGATTTGAAATTTTAACCATAAATAATGTTGGTTTTCAGCAACTCTGTTACTTTGAAATCACATAAAATGTATGAGATATACTCAACAATACATGAAGTTTCGTGTTATGATTAAATAGAAAGCAATACGAAACTGCCATGTACATTTAGTTATATAGAAATACCAAGACATTAAAAAGAGAAGAAACTATTACTAAAGAGAATCTTCTTTAACTTCCAATGTGGTTATAATATAAGTTGGAGCAAGTGAAACATTCTGAATCAAGATTAATGTTAGTTAGAGTTTTGGCATTTGATATACAGTGAAACCCGTACCCTGTAATAGTCTATAACCAGAACACCTCACAATGTGAACACTCTTCTTAGTCCCATATTTATAATCCACCACTGACTCACATGCATGTCTATAAAACCTTTAAATAGGAGCAACTGCTAATGTGAACACTTTTGACGGGTCCCAGGTATGTTCAGATTAGACAGGTTTCACTGTATACTTACATGTGCTATAAATGGTTTATTATGTTCACCTGTTATTCTGTACAGTGTATACTTAAGTACATGTACATGTACTTGACCATTAAAACAAATAGCATGTATCAACTATCAATGTCTCATTCTCAAATGAGTCAACCAAGTCAAGGGCTATCATTCTGTAAGAAAAACATCACGAGTCATGTTTTAAAATCTAGAATTAAGTGTAAAAGATAAACAGCTTAAAAGGAATAAAGCTAACAGGCATATACTCCATACTCTAAACTATATACAAAAGAGACAAGAAATCATTGTATTTGTTCACAAATCTGATGAAAAAGAGCAGAATATGCATGACTGTAATAACTGTTGTTCAAGGGTTATCAGCTATGACTTCAAACCTTATCTTTAAGGCAGTTAGTGTTATACATTGAAACCATCTAACATTGAATACCTTTACTAGTTGAATATCTCAATAAAACACATCTTTCAGTTTAACACTTATATCAAATAGTAATCACGATTGTCTTGCTAAAATAAATATTCTTCTTTAAGATGAATATATTGAAAGCATTTTTTATACATTTTTTGTATATCTTAAGTTTCTAATAGTGTTTGGCATACGTGGTTTATATGAGGTACACTCGTGGTTTATATGAGGTACACTCGAATATTTTGAACAATTCAGACAAAATCACCTGATAACAATTTAGAATATATATACAGATATTACACCATTCATCATGATCATGATAAGGGAATCCCATTATCATAAGGTATTAGGCCAAGTATTGAATGCTACATTGTGAAAGAAATATCATTTTTGATCATAACGTATGTAACATATCATATCTTGCCATTCAACACCCTACTTTGCAATTTGCTTTACTTCTATCATTATCATTAAAATACCTCAGTTAAGAGGTATTAATAATACAATATTTATTTTACTCATTTTGTTGAACAGTGAAATTAATGTTTGACCAATTTGAAAGATTGTTGAAAACATTAAGATCTATCCCTTTCATCATTACTAATTGACTCAGATTCAATCATAAGTTATATGATTTCAGTAAGAACTCTGAAGATATAATCTAGTTAGCTACCCTGGATATACCATAATCAAACCAGATTGCTTTCAATATCAGCTATTGCACAAATGAGCAATGTATATTATGTAATATCAAAGATTCCTGCTCTGATACAAGATTTGTTCAAGCAATAATGATTGATGTTACAAGCTACATTATTTCATATAATCTAAAAATACTATTTATTAATAAACTTTCTATAAAATGTAAACCTAAGATCTGGTCAATCTGGTTAATTGACTTGAATATTTTATATGGTGAGACATAACAGAGGCCTACCTTAATACATTAACATGAACACCTAATGTGAGACTATGGTAGAATGTTAGGAAAAAGAAAATGTTACATGTGCCTTGTTGTAATAAGAACTTTAAATGGGCATATAATCTAATAGTAGTAAATAGCCATGTTGAATGTTTGGAAGTACTTTGAATTAAAAAATAAGCAAACAAATTACTATATTGCAACAGTATATAAAAAAATAGAAACATATGTAAAGTCCTAATTTTTGTATATTTCAGATAGTTGTGTATAATATGCAGCAAGGCTATATGGCCTTTTGTAATTTAGGGAGTTTCAGCCATGGCAGAGAAGCATCAAAATATAAGAGGCCACACATATGATAGTCCAACAACATAAGACCTAGCCTGGGCCTCGTTTCTTATCTGACATGTGTTATGGCCCGGCTAGGTCTAACCTCCATGACCATTTTGCCTTTGATGCGTTAATTTAATCGTTCAGCAGGTTTCGATAAGCGGAACAAATTAAACCCTGAAAACATGGCAATATTACACAAAGAATGTGATTCAAACATGCATACATACCTTATAAACACATACACCCCGTCCCGTATCCCCCTTAGACCCTATTGATGCATAATTACGAAAATATTGGAGACAGGTTTGGAATATGACGAAAATGTCGGTCAGTTTCGGTAACATCGAAATTGCAAATCGTTTCAGGAATTAACCGTCATCACGGCACTGCATTAACGAACAGTGGGTTTGCAATTAATAACTATTTTGCGTGTATACACGCGCTATATAAATTAATCAAAGATACCTGTTATCCTCAAAATTGATCTTTTTATCCCAAGTAATCGCGATAATAATTATCAATCTATTTGACAACAATTTCGTTTCGCTGGTAGTTTAATTTTACGATCCGGGACACTCAGACGAACAGACACAATGACGGACATGCGGAAATGTCACTTTAGAGATTGGTAAGTGTAGCCTCATTTTACTCGTATAAATGAACATTTAACACAAAAATATTGTGTTAAATCGCTTGATGTTATGTGTTTTTATATTATTGTCAAGTATCAGTTGCACGTTATCGCGGAAAAATGGTTTCGATGGATTCAGAACTTGCATCAAAGGAAAGAATAGTAAGGAGGTTAAACTCAATAACGGCCCCAAGAAAATTCCTAATAATAAAGAACACCGTTATTGAGTTTAACGACGTTGAACTACACATATGATAGCCAAACTACAAAAAAACTAAAATATACAAAACTTGGGCCATGTATAAATGTTTCTATTTTTACATATACTTTTTCAATATGGTCCTTTGATTGCTTATTTTTTAGATTCAAAGTAGTTCCAAACATTTAAAATTTTCGTAAACTTTTACTGTAGATTGCAAATCTTTCCATTTTGGCTTTGTAACACTTATTGCAAGTTTCTCTAGTTTCACTATTCATCTTGAAGCGCTCCATTCATTTACTATCAACCACCATTGGAAAAAAACAGGCTTCAAGTACAAGATGTTATGATGGAGACGGTTTTTTCCTTTTTAGATGTAGAATCCCCTTGGAAAAATCACTGGGATGGCCCAGTATTTGTATTGGACGACATTGTGAACATCATTTTTGCAATTGCAAGCAAGACAAGCTTGCAGACTGTTACATTGAAAATTGTAATTATATTCCCATAAATAACACTGTAATATATTTATATGTCAATGTAGATCAGTTGATCATGACTTGGTAACTGAACTTCTGATTCTCAATTTCACTCATTTTTCCAAGCACATGTCATTGTTTATGCTTTTTACATAATAATGTGGGTAGCAACGCACTTTGCAACTAAAACATACAGGTAGCTAGACACAGAATGAAATATATCATGGGTGTCAGATAAAGATCAACAACTTATACAAGGGAAATTTGAATAGTGAATGAGAGTAAAAAAAAGTACTACGAATTTTTGAAGATAAACAAAAATCGCCATGTTGATTTTCACTTACTTTTTTCCGATGGTGGAAATGAGTTGAGAGCTTCATCTTCCCGATTCACTTGCGTAATTATGGACGTACTGTCCATTGAAGAGGTTGTTAGTAATCCGGGACGTCGTGGTGAACTCAATTTGAAGCTAAAAAGCTTTAAAAACTTGCAAAAATTCAAGATGGAGTAGCCACAAGTTCAAAATAAATATGCTAATAACGGTTTTGAGATCCCCATGAATAAATAATTAGATGAGGTAAATTGTTTTTGGAGACTATTTGTGATAAAGTTAGAGAATATCATATATTACCATGATGCAGTTGGATTAATTACGTATCATCAAATCCATAGGAATATAGGCTCAAGAAATGCAATTTTTTGAAGAATCATAAATTACAAAACTTTGGTTCCCGCGAAATTGTACATTCTTGGGGAATATCGAAACTAATGATTGACATGTTCCAGATTGTGGAACAGCTGATTGGTTGAAAACTCTGACACGCCTTCTACCACGTACCTAAATTTGTAAACAAATGAATACATTTTGTTTGTTCACTTAAATATGGCTGTGAGTACTTACTACTTACTGATGAGTGAGTAAAAATGTATTACAGGTTCCAGCAGTTTGGGTTACATACTCTTCTAAGATAGACTGTAAATTGAGAAAAAACATTGACTTTTAACGGACTATAAATCTATGGTAAACTAGGTCAAAGGGCAGCAGGTGACCCAGGAAGTGACATTCAGGAAGTAATCTAACTATCAGGCTGCAAAAGTTTAAATGCTTTGAAATGTTGTAAAATAAGGTAGAATATTGATGCACAATGTCGGATCGTGAATCTCTTAATCCTAGAGATACCAAACAACACGAAAAGAATTGTGAGTATAGAAAGATGGTGAAGAATCTGATGACCATATTGGAATTGGATTTTATTTTATTTTTATTCATCAAAATTATTCAAAGAAATCACATCATGATTTGACTTGTGCCCATCCTCCTACAGGGCTTCAAAATCCAGAATATATTCTTTCTTTTTACCCCCTGCGATAAGCAGTTAGCATTTCCCCGATTATAACTCGCAATCTGATTAGCTGTCGTAACACTGCGACAGAAATCATGTATAAGTCATTGCGCATAATTATATCACATGATTCAGTTAAATTGGGCGCTTCCAAATTGGTTATAGCAGGGGGAGGAAGGAGGTACGGATTCAGGCCCGTAAGACACTTTTTTCCAAGGGGGGTGCGGTTTTTACTCAAGAGAATATAAAATTGTCAATTTTTTGCCGCGTAAATCAAATCGCGTAAGTCAGAGGGGGGAGGGGGGGTTGGTTACTCTCTATAGTGAAGACACTCAGCCTATTTTGTAGTATTTTATTGGTTTGAGACTAAATATTGTATGAGGGATTTGGAGAACTATTGGAATAGGGGGAGGGTGTGCCAGAAGGGCATAAATGTTTACCCAAGAACTTTTACCGGTTCAAGACCACAGTCAATGATTTCCAGACACATTTCAAGTGTTTTCAAAGAAAAAGAAAATCAGATTTTTTCAATCATTTCCTTCTAAGGGGAGTGAGGGGGCAGCTTAGGAAAATTTTACTAATTCAAGATGCTGTCTGGTTAATTCTGAGCACTTTTAATGTGTTTGAGTAAATGAATGCTTTAGTTTTTGGGGTGGAGTACCAGAAACTTTTATGATTTCATTATGTCACTTAGTGATTTCTGGGCACTTTTAAAGTGTTTAGATTAACAAATGTAATTTCCACTTTTCCACTCCCACTCCCCTTAAAAAATTCACACTTTTGAGATGCTATTTGGTACTTTCTGGACACTTTCAAAATGAGTCTTTTTTTGGGGGGGTGTCAAAGAGGATGAGGTGGGGTGGGGTGCCAGCAAGGGGTTGTCCCCAGAAACATTGACCATATCAAGGCGCTATTTGATGATGTCTGGGCACTTTAAAAGGGTCTGAGACAATACATGAAATTCAGAATTTTTCAAGCGTTTTGTGGGGAGATGTGAGGGGTGGCCTACTCTCCTAGAAAATTTTACAATTTTAAGATGATATTTGGTGCTTTCTTGGCACTGTTAAAGTGCACGAGTCAATTTTTTTTGAAAGAGTCACATTTAAAAAAAATTCTTGAGAGTGTCAAAGGGGGGGGGGTCCAGTTGCCAGTGGGGAGGTGGGGTCGGGGTGCCAGAGTGGGAGCAAGTGTTTGTCCCCCAGTAAATATTGACCATATCAAGTTGCTATTTAATGTAGTCTGGGCACTTAAAGAGTGTCTGAGACAATACATGAAATACATGTCCATTGTTTTGTGGGGGATGTGAGGGGTGGCCTACACTACTTCCCCTACAAAATTTTACAATTTTAAGATGCTATTTTGGGCTTTCTGGACCATTTCAAAATGTATGAGCCTATTAAAAAAATGTGAAAACATCACAATGAGGATGCCAAGAGGGGGAGCAAGTCTTTGTCCCCCTGTAAACATTGACCATATCAAGGTGTTATTTGATGAAGTCTGGGCACTTTAAAAGTGTCTGAGACAATACATGAAATAAATTCAGAATTTTTGTCAGTTATTTTGTAGGGGATGTGAGAGGTGGCCTACATTACTTCCCTAGAAATGTTTACAATTCTAAGATGCTATTTGGTGCTTTCTGCACACTTTCGAAATGTATGGGTCAATAAAAAAATTGAAAAAATCACAATTGTTTTCATTTTTTGTTTGGGGGGTGTCAAAGTAGGGGGGTGCCAGAGGGGGAGGTCGGTCGAAGATTCCAGAGGGGGAGCAAGTGTTAGTCCATCAGAAACACTGACTATATCAAGGAGCTATTTGATGATGTCTCTGCACTTTAAAAGTGTCTTAGACAATACATAAAATAAATTCAGAACTTTTCAATTGTTTTGTGGGGTAGTGAGGGGTGGACCATTTTCCGTAGAAAATTTTACAATTTATTATGCTATTTGGTGCTTTCTGGGCAGTTTCAAAGTGTATGAGTTAATAATAATAAAAAAAATTTCAAAAATCTTTTTAAAAACTTTTTTGGGGGGTGTAAAAGGGGGGTGCGGTCGCACCCATCGCACCCCCCCATCTGACGGCCCTGGGATTCTGGACACCTGCTTAGGAGGATGACTTGGTCACATTTGCTCCGATTTTCACTAGGCCTACGGCGCCCGGCCGATTGAGTATTTTGTTCAAAATTGAATACAATATTGAGCAAAACACTCAATCGGCCGGGCGCCGGCCGATGGATCGGAGCAAATGTGACTCAGGCATAAGTTAGAATGATATGTAGTGGTTGGGTTGGGTTTCAAACATACTCAAGGTCTGCTTGCTGTTTTAGTATTGCTTCAAGTCTGGACCCCCCCTCCCCCTATCTACTTCACCACTTGTGGATAGGGGCATCCATGGGGTTTCTATAGAAAGTCCATGGGGTGCCACAGTTGCCTGTAGCTAGACAAGCTATATGGTTAGGTTGTGGGAGAAGTCACTCAAGAAATCATAATCAGTACAATGTCATATGTTAAACTGTGCAAAAATCACCCAGTTTCTCATTTGTTCCATTAGATTCTGTTTTGCATTATTGCTTTACTCAATTCCTGCTTGCAGAATGCAACCAATTACTTTTTATGGTGAGGGCATGAGGGACGGGGGGCTCATAAATCCAATTTTGTTCATCTTCAAAGGGATCCAAAAGTGACAATTTTGGATGTTTCTAGTTTACAATACAGTAGTGACAAATACTTTTTATAAAATTAAGATTTAGTCAAATACTATAGACATTACTTAAAGAACAGGAATTATGGAATATGGATATGGATATGGAATATTATACTTAAGTAGTATGTAGTGAAACCTCTCTAATGTGAACAACAGTAACAATAGCTAACGCCAGTCTTAGCCCCACTCTCATAATAACAACCACACTAGTATGTGTTCTCGTGAACAGCTACCTCCCCAGCATTAGATATCTGGGCATTAGATTAGCTTGGAAATCATAGCTTAGAAAATAATTTCAAATTAGTGAAATAAGCCTGGCATTTTTAGTTGCACTATATCTTTTTTAATAGGCATGGGATTTCAATGCCCAATATACTCATTGGGCTGGAGCATGTTGCGTTTCCAGAATTATACCAGTAAAAAGAGAACATTTCATTTTTTGATAATAAATGGAAAACAACATGCTAAATACCTAAAGCAAGTAGGCACGAATATTTCATTGTTACATTAAGTACAAAATCTTTTGAAATATGCCTAATTTTCATGATTTTCTTAATTTGTGAGTGTAATCCAAAATCTAAAGCAGTGCCCACTTGCTTCAATGCTAGCACTGGTGATCCACTCGATTACGCTGGTTACCAAAACGAACCGTTTTGGTAACAAAATGTCGGAACGTCGAAGGCATGGTTTTTCTTTTTTCCTTATTTCACGCGTTGTAGGCAGAATCCTCACGACATTTTTTCTCACAACGTGCATCAGTATCATATGTTTTAGAAAATGTACATGTTTGCGAAAAAATAGCTCAAAGGACAACAGAATCATTGATTTACTTCCTCACTTAAGTTACATAAACGGTTTTTCGAAAAACAGCTAAGATCTGCACTTTAACCCAAACCGTTTATGTAACTTAAGTGAGGAAGTAAATCGACTATTCTGTTGTCTTCTGAACTATTTGTTCGCAAATATGTACATGTCTTAAACATATGATACTGATACACATTTGTGTTAAAAAATGTCATGGGAATTCTGCCTACAACGTTTAAAATAAGGAAACGAGAAAAATCGTACCTTCTGGATGTTCCGACATTTTGTTACCAAAACGAACTGTTTTGGTAACCAGCGTAATCGAGTGGATCACCAGTGGCTAGGGAGGTATCTGTTTACTTACATTATTAACATCATTCTTCTGAATTTATTCTTGCATGATTTGAAATGTATTTTCTAACAATGGCTGCCTTCTACAGATTAATCACAATGCAGTCACACTTGACTGATATAACTGCCGAACTCTCAGACAGTGAAGATGAACTCTTCACAATGGAAGGTAATAATTTCTTGTTAGATATTGTAAAACGCTTAGGATTATAGGCTTCGTTGGGTGATATTTTGTTTGTGCATGATAAACAATATCATTTATTTACCTTGATATTCATTTTTATTCATTTTCTATCACTACCATTTCAAGTCGCTAAAATCAAACACCTTAATATAAGATCAAACACCTTAATATAACTTTGTCAATTAAATCAAACACCCTTTCACTTATCCCGTTCCCGGACTAATATGGTCCTGCACTGAGCGCATTCCTTTGCCTGTACGATTACAACTTGGGAGAATTATCTACGCCCCTTACACTTAAGATACCTACCTCAATGCATTATAGAACTCAAGATGTAACTTCTAATATATTGGAACCGCCGATTGTCTGGGTATATCGGCAGAACGGGAACATTTCTCTTTTTCATCGAGAGAGATTCCATCACTTTTCAAAATGGCGGTTGGATTTAAAAGGGGAATCCCCCGTTTGGCTGTCCCTGATGTAGCCCGGAAGTACCAATATGGAGGAATTTGAGGGTTGAAATAAGTTAAATGTTACACGCAAATATTGCGATCCAAAACGAAAATGTCTTCGTTCTGCCGATAAACCCAGACAATTGTGGATTCAACTACATGAAAAGAATGCTAAATTACCAAGGAATCTATTGAAGTAGGTATCAGAAGTGTAAGATGAGTAAAAAATTCTCCCATGTTGTAATCGCACAGGCAAAAGATTGAGATGTTCACAGGACCATAGTCTGGGAACGGGATTACCTTTCACCACTCGACTCTGCCTACCTTCGCACTGCACTCAATAATTCACTTCAACAGACCATATATGTCTGTACATGTAAATTAAGATTAATTCTACTTACTGTATTGTATCCTTTATTACCACATTATTACTATGTGAGTACATTACAATTTTCAATATTTTGTCCAAACATATTTACATCAACATGTTGCGTTTTTTATACATAAAATAAATTGCCTTGGCCTTTAAAATCATATTAAAATCATCATCCTCTTTAAAAATCTGGAGTACATTATCTTCTCCCATTTTAAAAAGTGCTAGTAGAGCTACCCTTTCAGCATCTAAAGAGCTACAAAATATAGTAAAATGTTCTAATGTCTCAATCTCACCAGAATTACATATAAGGCATTTTTTATTGCCCCATTTATTGTTTCCATTCAGTGTTTGGTTAGTTAAGAGCTTAACCATTAGTTTAAAATACATGCATTTATCAGGATATCTGTTGCACAGTACCCACCAGATTAGTGGTTTAAATGAACATCTGGTCCATAGCATTTTGGGAGGATATAGATATCCTTTACATCTGCTGGGAAGAAAAATTGATTAGTAAGTGGAGAAATAAGAAAAAATTCTGAATAAAAGGATAGATCTGTATATTTATCGGGAGAAAGGGGATCAATTATAATTAATTGTATTTAGGAAAAATGTTATACTGGTATTTAAATTTATATTTAACACATTCTCTGATTCTGATTGTTTGAATTGGTGTATTGATTTTAAAAACCAATTCAACACAAAGGGAATTTACAATCTTTTCTTGCTTAGCTTGCATTATCTTTTCTGTTGATATGTTTCTAGATACCCAGTTGCTGGAGGGCCAAGACGGGAAGGGGGAGGCACCCAAGATCAGTGGAAAGGCTTGGGGTAGAGTGGCTGTAAGTAGCTCTTAATTAGTTCACACCTTTTGAAAATAGATACCGTTATACTTTCTAGATACCCATTGATTCAATGTGTACTGAAGAAATGTAAATTCTTTCAAGTTCAGTATCAACTACATATTATTCAGTTTTACTCAGATTTTGATTGAATTTTTTTTCATTTTCCAGAAAATATTCCGCAACAGAAGTGACTATCCTACTTGTGTCTTCCTGATTTTGGGAAATGAGTTTTGTGAGAGATTTTCCTATTATGGAATAAGAAGTAAGGATTCCCTTGTTTTGTTCATTCCTTTGAAGTCATATAATGATCACCTTCTGTTGTTTCCTGAAGGGTATAAGTCTTTTTACAATAATTTTTATCCATAATAGATAATTGAATTGATATCTGGATCTCCCTATATGGACCAACATAATTATGAGAAAAGTATTATGCCTAGAACCATTCCATATGTAGTGTATTACTCTCTAGTCTGGTGCCCCCCCACCTATAGATCAGGTAAGGAAGAGGGAATCGGGGAGGGAGGGGGGGTCTTGATGCCTTGATGCAAGACTTAACTATACACTGTATTGTCAAAGAATAATGCCTGAAGCATAACTGAGGAATAAAGCTGTGGAATGTGGAATTTTTTCTCAAAGTCTATATTTTGGGTTTCAGCGATTTTAGTGATCTATCTCTCACAATGGCTGAAGTTCTCAGAAGACACCTCTACTGCCATCTATCACATGTTCGTCATGCTCTGTTACTTCTCGCCTCTCTTTGGAGCAATGTTGGCAGACGGCTTTATTGGAAAATACAAGTAAGTAGAGCCTCTCTTTGAAACAATGTTGTCAGATGGCTTTATTGGAAAATACAAGTAAGTAGAGCCTCTCTTTGGAGCAATGTTGGCAGACGACTTTATTGGAAAATACAAGTAAGCAGAGCCTCTCTTTGAAACAATGTTGGCAGATGGCTTTATTGGAAAATACAAGTAAGTAGAGCCTCTCTGTGAAACAATGTTGGCAGACGGCTTTATTGGAAAATATAAGTAAGTAGAGCCTCTCTTTGGAGCAATGTTGGCAGACGACTTTATTGGAAAATACAAGTAAGCAGAGCCTCTCTTTGAAACAATGTTGGCAGACGGCTTTATTGGAAAATACAAGTAAGTAGAGCCTCTCTTTGAAACAATGTTGGCAGATGGCTTTATTGGAAAATACAAGTACTCTTTGGATTAGTGTTTGCAGACTCCCAACATCGAAACATCACAACATTGAACTTCTTCACTTTAAGTACATGTACTGTAGAATCAATAATTGACTTTATTCACAATTTTGATGTTTTTTGAAAACATAAAAGGTTTAATTACAGTAAAACCTGTATATATGAACACCTCTCTAATTTGAACACCTCACAATGTGAACACTTTTTCATTGTAACAATTTTATTTTCTCTGTAAGTCATCTGAGAATTCAGAATCATCAAAGAGTATAATGTTGATTTAACTTGCTTGCTTGAATTGACTTTTTCTGTATATTTATCAAATGATGTAAAATGTCTCATGTATAAACTGAGTGTCTCTACATATTATAACGACTCTTGTCATAATTATAGAGACTTTATAGACACCTGTACAGGGTGGGCCAAAAAAATGCCACTTTTTTTTCAAGACGCTACAACTTTTTTATTTTCCAACCTACATACCCCAAATTTTGCAGTTATATAGTGCCAGGGGTTCTTAGTAATAATATAATGTAACGAAGTCCTTCAATTTGGATTATATCTGATTTAAAAGACGAGTTCAATTGGTCCGCCACCCTATTTGATGATATATTTTAGTTTTAGTCGCCTCGCTGATATAGCAGTATCAATGAAATGTTAGCTAAGTTTTTTTCAACCTGTCTTAATTGCCAGCTTTAGTTGAGCAATTTTCTAGATTGGGTGCCTTCATACAATATCCTTGAGACCTTCCCATACCCTATACTCACTGGGGTTTGCATCAGGACTATTAGCTTGGCGATCATCAGGCCATATCAGTTCAGGAACATTTTGCAAATTATGCTTATTTCTCATGGCACACCACATGTTTAAGAGAGACGCTGGTGACATATTTTAGTCAAGTAAAAGTGTTCAATTCATGATACATGGCTAGATAACAACCTCAAGTTTCATTTGGTATGCAAATTATGATTTTATATCAAACATTTAAAAAGTTATAGCATTTTGAAAAATAAAGTGGCGTTTTTTTGGCCCACCCTGTATATTTGAATTTTATGATTTTTGCAGGACTATATTGTACCTCTCCATACTGTACGCTATTGGGAATGCCATAGTCTCCTTCACAGCTTTCCCTCCTCCTGAAAGGTATTGTATACACATCTATAGTATAGACTGAAATAGTATAGTGTATGTTTATTATTTATATAAGATTTAGATGTGAACAAAAATTTCAGTTTGCTCATGTTTATTCCATGCTATTTTTTATCAATTTTCTATATGTAGACTTTTGTTAATGTACGATTTGCTTCAAAGACATCTCTCAGGCTTATATCACTCCATTCCTTGCCTCATGTACACCTTAGTGTCTGAACTTCATGCCTACCTACACTTTTTCTTGCTAATTCCACTCTATTCCACACTCTATGATGTTTTTTTATGATCAAATATGACTCAATGGCAGCCTATCTTTCTCTGATGCATGAGGTCTCGGGTTCAATTCCAAGTTCAGATAAAAAGTTTTTTCATGCATTTATTATGGAAAGGACACCACTGAGTGTTTTTGATGATGACTGGTCAACATAAGATATTAATTTATGTTTCCTGGTTATCTTTATTCTACTTTATAATATAAACACAGTTTCTTTATTATTACGAGACTCAAAAGATACAGCTTCAAATCTGGAATATGGCGATCATGCTTCGCGGAAACATCCTGAACGAAAATACAATATGCATATACAGGTTTTGATTCCCGGGGTAAATCACACAACATTCACACAATCTATAAACTGTGAATAAAGTCAGTATATTCCACCAAGTATTTATTCGTCAATACGATACCTGGTCTGCACTCAGTGTTTCGTTCAGTGCACCAGAAGTAGGAAATGAAGTGATGATTTTGCTACATGTTGGTGTGTTTTCATTTTCGAATCATAATAAAGACCCTAGATCAGATATTATATCGTGTACATGTAATAAATACCTTAGGGCTACCTTAGTATTGTCGATTCTTCAAATGATAGAAATCATGTTAACATGATTGTGGAGCACAAGGGGCAGCAGACAAGAATGAAAACATAACCCCAATAAACAATATCAAATGGTAAAATTGAAATAAAAATGGCTCATGAAAATATAACTCAAACATCCACCAAGATAGTTATAGTTGAAACCCTCATGTTTTCAGTTATTACAGTGTTTCCTCAATGTTCATTTGATATTCCATCTTATGTGTATTACAATACAACCCCGCTTGAAATTTCGATATCTGAGTACTTATGTGTAGCACTTAATTTTTCTCAAAAATGTAAATAATGTACCCCGTTCCTGGTATTTTGTATGTAAGGAGTATCACCTACATGTCTGTTTGTTTTATTCCTTTCCTATTTCTCTCTTTTCATTTATATTTCTTATTCAAAAATATAATTTTATTCATAGGTGATTATGAGCCAGTTGGCAAGCTTGCTCCAGTATTTGTGGGAAACAACTGTTATTGCCAAGTCAGGAATTACCCGCATAAAGTTTTGTTTCCTTTTCCTGCCTTTTCTACTCTATTTCCCCCTGTTTGATTGAATACAATAAAACCTGTATATTTGAACAGCTGTCTGATTTGAACACCTGAAATTGTGAATGCTTTTTGGTTCATTTTTTAAATCTGCAATCAGATTATGATGTTTAGAAACCCTAGAATATAGACACGTACCAATCCTTACACTTTTTTGGTAAGTGGCATTCGGATAAGACTGGTTTTAGTGCAATTACTCAGACACAAGTAGGTAGTTACCAGATTCGCCACCAGGTGGCTGATTCGGGGGGAATAACATGGCAGGGTATTACAAAGTTCCCTTAAACTTGAATATTCATCAGTTTTAGTAGTTCTCCTTTCATATTACCCCTATGTATCTGATAGTTATACAAATTAAAATATGTCCAATAAAAGAAAATATTATCTGCCCAACACAAGAAAAGATACTTAACTTTTTGTGGTTTTACAACATGGGGTCTATGGGGAATCTCCCCGACCTAGAAGTCACATTTTCAAAGAAAATTAAATTTTCAAAGTTGATAAACTCTTATAAAAACCACATTTCTAGGTGTGATTTTACATGTAGATTCCAAATATGACATCAGTATGAATTTAAAATTTTTAATGACGTAAATCAAGATTATTAGTACTCACACCTAGTCTATTGATTTTTGGGCATTTTAAGTAATAACAACAAAGCTGTACAGTTCTGTATATTCCCTGCTTATTCCACTCTTTTTTCATGAATTTTGCATGACCATTATGACATTGTTTCAAACAGCATTCAATACATTTAATTCTGTTTTTACTTCACATGATGGGGTATTGCAATACCTGTGTTATATTAAGATACAATAGATACTATGAGGTTATATAATGGTTGATTCCGTATATCGTGTTTATACTCAAGTTAGTATATGATATATTCACGAGTGACTGAAGGGAACGAGTGAATATATCATATACTCACGAGAGTATAACGATATACAGAATCAACCATTATATGATCTTATTATCCCACCCTAATATGTAATCAATAAAAGGTTAATCTAAATTCACCAGTTGTATATAAAGTCGAAGAGTTGTATACGCTATCCAGGAGTTGTATATCGTTCTCAAGAGTTGTATACGATGAGTGTTGGTTTTATATTGCAGTTATACAATGCTATTATACAATCATATAAAGCACTTAGGGTGGGGTAAATTTTATATATAAGCCTTTAACTTTGCATCAAGCTGTTATACAATATTGGAAATATTTTCTTAACAAGTAACAGGCATAAGTGAATGTAAAACATAACCAGCATTCTTTGTAGAAATGTATGCATTCATTTTAATGGACAGAATTTATCATGTCATGATGAGAGGAAATTATTCACTGTTATTTAATGCACCTTTTCAAGCTAGATGCTATATGTTGCAGCTTTGCTATCTGAAATTTTAATTATGTGCGTTATTTGAGATGTCTTTGACTTACCATTCCTGTCCATATCACAAAAAGAATTGACTTACCGGTAATTCCATTTCTGAATTAAAGTTATTGCATGTGTAAATACAAGTGTAAAGGACATGTATTCATCATTGTTGCACATGTTTGTTCTTGCAGCGCTGGACCAATCATAGGCCTCATAGTTATAGGAATAGGGACTGGCGGGATCAAGCCTTGTGTGTCAAGTCTTGGAGGAGATCAGTTTGCAGAAAACCAAGTGAAACAAAGGGCCACTTTCTTCTCAATATTTTACTTTGCTATTAATGCAGGAAGTGTCTTGTCAACTTTTATAACTCCAATATTAAGGGGTAGGTACATAAATCAAGGAACACTACAGTTGTACATTACTTCATTTATTTCAAATTTAACAAAATAAAAAAACAAAATGGTGCTTTGATCATGGTCTCTCAAAAAGCCTAGCTTTGATTGACCTTTCAAATATTTTATAGTACTACTTGTAAGCTACAATTTAAGCATTTGCATGGGCTTCAGAAAGGGGGTTGCCATGCCACCTATATTTTCTGGAAAAACACACTTCCTTTGTCAAATATAATGTGACGCTCCTGATTTGAAATGATTTTCAGTCCTTCCTTCACGATCACTTCACTTACATTGCATTCTATAGCTCTTTAATACTGAAATATTTAACAGTGAATTGACATGATGAAACTATTTTTAGCTGACGTTCAATGTTTTGGTGGCGACTGCTATCCATTGGCCTTTGGTGTTCCCACTCTGCTGATGATCGTTGCATTGCGTAAGTGTTTGATGGTGCCAATATTAATGTACATCTACTTCAATGGGATACTGTGGGCCTTCATAGACTCAACAATGCAGGACTTCAGCATAGGGTCTTGCTTTGTACATAAAGTACAACTGAAATAGTAATTTAAACCCAAAGGAATCAATTTTATTAATGGATGTATTTTGGACATGTCATCCAATCTGTAATGTGGCAACTGTTTTATTCTACTGAAAGTGGTAGCTGTTTAATGAGCAATATTAAAATGTTTTGTGACATATTTTAGCCACCACATGACTTCTTTGGTCCTCATGTGCCCTGTTTTGGTTCACCAAATCATGTGAAAACATGTCAACATATGAAACTCAGAAAAATTGAGTGCAGTGAGCATCTCAAGCATTTCCAGTGATAAATGTAATCGTCATTCTGACACTCATCACATCTGTTTCAATGATCTATTGGCTGAGAGGAATCATGATGTGTTATTGTACATTTTTATATAAGTTTCTGGTTTGTTTCAGTTTTATTTGTTGCTGGGACCAACCTATACAAAAGGAACCCACCCAGTGGCAATGTTATAGGCAATTTCTTCTGTTCTATCGGGGTAAGTAGCTTAGACCATTGTCAACTGGGACAGATGTTAAAATATTGACGGCCATTTTGTCACATTTTCTAGATTTAAAGAAAATCGCTCATCGGATTTTCTCCAAATTCACACACATGATAGAGGATATCAAGTTCTATAGCTGATTAACCTTTGGGCGGCCATCTCGTTTTCTGGTGGCCATTTTGAAAGTTTTTCAATAAGTCTTGTCATAGCCATTTCAGGAAAACCACTCATCAGATTTGGCATCAATGGTTTACCATCATTGTTGGAGTCTGTAACAAGCTGATATAGATGTCATGTAACTAATGTCATACACAAATTTGCTTATTTCCAGCGTGCAATCAAAAACAAATGTGGCATCCGAGGAAAGCTTCAAAAAGAGCACTGGCTGGATTACGCTGATGATAGATATGATGTAAGTATCCTGAAATGGTTTATTTGTCATATAAGGAATTGTTATTAATTTGGTGAAAAACCTAACCTCAGGCAGTTTACTCAATTTCGAGAGAGAAAATAGTGGAATAGATATTACCTTGACCTTTATTCCTAGGCTCAGTTCCTTAGTGATGTGAAGGATGTCTTGAGAGTATTACTCTTGTTTATCCCCCTCCCTGTCTTCTGGGCTCTGTTTGACCAGATGGGATCTCGCTGGACCCTCCAAGCGCAAAAAATGAATGGAAAAGTTTGGGTAAGATTTTCAAAAAAAGAATTTTCTTAGTTACTTCAAGAAAAACGATATAATGATCATGTTTATGAATACAGTGTAGCACAAAAATGCACCAATTGATTTCTGGCTGACTTGATATTGATATTTAGACTTTTTTATGATGCTTTTGCACCAAGTCAGTCATACAAGCAAGATTTAAAAATTTGGTCTCTTTCCTAAAAATGCCTGATATGTAAATCTCTTACTGAATTTACTTTCATATAAATTATCTTAATTCTCAAAATCTTGCATTTTTGTCTCAGCCTGCAAAATGAGCATTCTTATTTTTGAGCAAAAAGATATGCGGCTTATTTAAAGAAACAATATGCAGTTTTGATTACCTAGGAGCTAGTAGGTAGTTACCAGTTTCACATGCAGATGGGTAACTTGGGTCAGGTAACATGACAGATATCCAAAAAGTTCCCCAAAACTTGAATAATTGATAGATTTAACAATTTTCAACTTGCCTGTTTTTGTTTGGTAATTTTACCATTTAAAATGTCTTCAGTAAAAGAAATTGGTTTAAATATAATATATTTTTATAACACAGGCTCTATGGGGAATCTGCTTGACCAAGAAACCATGTTTTAAATTATTGAAAATATGATGAAAATCAAGATTATTTCTACTCATATCTATATCTATATAAAAAAATGCTTTAATAAACTGATTTTTTATTGTTTCTTTGTATAATACAGGGTGACTGGCATTTCAAGCCAGATCAGGTCCATGTGAGTAATATTTTTGCATGTTTTCTATTTCTTTTTCCTTTCACAGGGTGATTGGCACGTAAAACCAGATCAAATCAGTGTAAGTTATTATTATCGGAGGCAAACCCTCCTTTATATAATTCATGCCATGGTCACATTTGCTCTGATTTTCAGATGAGCTTTTTGTAAAAATTGCATTCAGTTTTGAACTCAATACTCATCGGCCGGCCTCCCATATTGAAGATAGAAGCAAATGTGACCACGGGATCAGTGGAAAATCATTTTTTAATTATACTCCAGATTTTCTATCACTTCTGCCTGTATTCTGATCATTATTATTCTTTGCACTGTCACCACATTTACTGATCGGTGTCCAGAAAGTAGGTCAACAAAAAACTTTTGGTATTGAGAAAACAAGAGAAGACATTCTCTTAGGATTCTGAATCTACAGGGTGTCCCCAAAGTATGAGATACTCCATAGACAGACCTATACCAATGTCTTCATAGTATCTGTCATATAAAGCTTATCCAAAGTTATATTGATTTGCCAAACCATGGTTCAACTCCCAAATGAGAAAAAAGTACAGGCATTTTAAAACTTAGTGTTTGGTCAAAATTGAAGTTCAGTTCAGTATCCTGGAAACAGCCCTGACCTGGATGTGGCCAAAAATATGGGTGCTATTGTCAAAGATAGGATGGATATTGAGTTGGAAAAAGAGGAGTGTGCTGGCATGAACTCTTCTGAAATACTTTAGAAAGGTTTCTATTTGAGGGGTGTTTAAGGTCATTTCTAAAAAGAATTGCTGCTGTTAATATGGCCAAGGGAGACACACCAACTTTTTAATTTGGTGTAAAATTGAACTTTAATTATGGTCACTTGTGTGTATTAAAAACATTTGGGAGCAATTCACCATGGTTATTGGCTTATTGCTGTTAATCCCCACTTAATCTCATTTCAATTGAACTCCTGTGGCACGCCAGTGACTAGCCATCGCGGGTGTGTGGGACAAGATTGACACTGCGATGTAATTCTTGTCAGTTTATAGAGTGAACACATACTAGTTTTTAGAAACATTTTACTTCAATCTCCTGTTGTTATTATTGCCACTTAGGGGCTTTCCATCGCCCATTTTACAAATAGAATGTAGATTTCTTTTTTTTCTTACATAGAATGATTGTATATAGAATATAGATTTCCACATGGAGTGTACATTTTTACATTGTTAAAGTTATATTTTATGCTAATATTCAATTTTAAATCAAGAGATAATCTATTATCGTATGATCTGTAAAATGAAGCCCTCTTATTGGTCAGTTCTTGTGCTGTATCAATCTGTATTGCTACTGAGATTGTCCCCGTTGATCATCTCCATCACAATACAGAAAATATTGGTACGGAGGGGACAATCTCAGTAGTAATACAGAGGAGCACACGATAAAAACATTTTTGAATGATTTGAAGTGCAATACAGGATATATTCTGTCTCGATATTATGTATTGGCACTTGACTTCGTCTCGTTCCAATACAAAATTTCTCGAACAGAATATATCCTATATCGCACTTCAAATCATTCAATAACTTATATTATTATATATTAGGTGTTGAATCCAGTGATGATCTTGCTGTTTATTCCACTCTTTGAAAGCGCCATCTATCCGCTACTTGACAAGTGCAAGATTCCTAACAGGTAAAACTTTGAAATAGGGCATGAGAAAAATCTGTTTGTCATGCTTTAATATTATGTTCATTAGGGCAGAAAGACATGGAATCAGCATGGAATAAAGTATCTAAACATGAAGTTAATAATCTAAATTGTAAAGAAGTTTTAAGGCATGGGATCTCAGGGGCGGATCTGGGAACCAACAAGGGGGGGGCCCAAATTTCAGTTCAGAGAAAAAAACGTCCATTACATGTCGATGCAAGCAGTTCAAGCCTAACTTCACTGTCTGATGCATTAAGAATTATGAGCAGTGTAGGAAGGAGTTTCATGAGGATTAGTGAAGACCTTCACATGGGAAAGAGGTTGCTTTCAAGATTTGTTTAAAATCATGCATTGCTCTTGTTCTAGGCCACTACAAAGAATGGTTGTAGGCATGCTGTTTGCATCTGCTAGTTTCTACTTAGCTGGGTTTTTACAAATAACTATTGATGTAAGTACTTTTCTAATCTCCAACTTTTTGTGGACGTTGTTTGGTGGTAGGCATCTGTAACAAATGGCAGGTGATGACATTTGGCATATTAATGCTTTGTTCTTATATGAAATGATCCCAAAGTGAGTTATGGCATCAATAATTTAATTTAACTCTTTTTCTGATTAAATTATTTAAATATTCAAGAAAATGAATTGGTTCCTTCAAATTTTAGAGAACAATAGAGTAAAATTGTGTGAGCAGACAAAATTGACTTGCTCTTTTTCTCCAGGAAGCTATTGCTGCTCCTTTAGATGTAAACCAGGCTGATGTGAGATTTCTGAATGCTGCAGAGTGCCCCTTAAATGTACATACATATAATCTGAATATAGACTCATTGGAGGTATGAAACTCAAAAAATTATGTTCTTGTTTAGAAGTTTCAATTGTAGAGGAAGGGAGTTAAGAGGGAACAAAACGAGATGAGTCGGGTATGCATGAGTTACATACAGACATACAATTGTGTAGAAATGATGCTTTATACAAAAATGTAACAAATAATAATTGAATAACAGACATATTTTGAAAATCACTTGTCCTTTTTTCTTGATAAACAGTGGAAAAGTGTAATATTCAGGAAATTACATGAAAAATGTCAAGATCTGAAATAAATCTATGTTCAAAACAATGTTAATGAAACCAGAGACTTATATTTGTCAATGATCAAAAAGATGTCACTAACGTTTATTTTTATGATTTTCAGAGAATAGAAAAAAGATTAAATATAGGGGAGATGCAACCATTAGAGGTCTCTTATAATCTTACTTGTAAAAGTAGTGAGTCTTCCATTAAAGTGCCCATAGAAGAAAGAAGGGCTTACACTGTGTTATTTTATGCTGATGGTGCAAAATATGTAAGTACATCTACAATATGTTATTATTAAACAATATGTTTGAAACAACTGATATTCACAGAACCACATAAACTGAAGAAATTCTGTAGAATATTTCTCTGTTCAATTACAATTATCGAACCAAACAAAGTTTGAGTGGGATACAGGAAAGCCGTCCGTTCATCCATTTTCCGTCTCAAATACTCAAATACCGGTAGACAGATTTGGTTCAAATTTTGTAGACTTATGCCATATGGGTGTAGAACCTCTGCTCGAGAAGGAATTTTCAATATGGCCACTCAATTAAAAATGACCTCTAAAAAGATTAGTCTTTTATAACTCAAATACTAGTTCACAGATTTAGTTCTAATTTTATATGATGATGCCTAAGAACAAAGGAGCTTTGCTGAAGAAACGATTTTCAAGATGGCGGCTGAATTTCAAAATGGCCACTGTTCTTCATAACAGAACTAATCTTTGAGAACTCAAAAACCAGTTGATGGACTTGGTTCAAATTTTATTATGTTGGTGCCTAGAGACATGGGAGTTGCACTCAAGAAGACATTTTGTGGAAAGCTACCAAATATCAAAATGGTTGCCATTTTTCGTAAAAATAAACATTGATAACTCAAATACCAGTGAACAGCTTTGGTTCAAATTATATATGCCTAGGGACAAAGAAGCTCTGTTTAAAAATAGATATTCAAGATTACTGCTGGATTTCAAAATGGCCGCCATTTTTAGTAAAATATTTAATCTTTGCAAACTCAAATACCAATAGGCGGATTTGCCTAGAGATAAAAGAGCTCTGCTCTGTCAATATTATTCTCAAGGTTAAAAAAATGTGACCTTCAATGACTTCCTCAAGGTCAAAAAGGTCTTTTTTCAAAATCATCTACAAGTTCTCAGAAGTTCACATCTGACTTTAGATTTGATATTTCACCTTCAATGACCTTCTCAGGGTAAAAAAGGTATTTTTACAACTTGCTTTACAAATTGATTTATTTCTTCAAAATCATCTACATGTTCTCAGAAATTCAAATCTGACATAATATTGAACTAATAATGAGTGTTAGCAACAACGTGGTGACATTTTGTCATGTTAATGCCTTGTTTATAATGCAAAAGTATTGTTTATGTATTAGAATTCTTACTTTTCAGTATAAGAGCAGTTCAACTAAGCCAAGAAAAAACAAATGCAGTTTTAGGTAAGATTGAGACTCTTCCTTTAACTGGTGGTGACCCAATTAGCAGTTTTTACTTTTTAATCTCCTTGAGTCAATCCAAGTCAGATGACAATATGATGTTATGTAAAATTATGGTACAAACAATATAGTAGTAATTTCTGTGTCAGTAAATTCACATCACTCCGTCACTCGTTATTGTATAATTAATAGAATTTTTTTATTGCTTACTATTTTCAGTTTAATAAATGTACTAGACAGTGACGCCTACAGTCTGGTGCTTCAAGAAAAAAATGGGGAGACCCAGTACAGTGTAGGTGACTTAGAACATCTACACGCTTCAAAATACTCAACAGTGCTTCCATATAGGTAAGAATTTAAACTAAACCTCGAAACTTCTCATAATAGTCAGGTTTTGAAATGCAAAATAGAGTGGAAAAGAGTGGAATTGGAATGAAAAAAAGTATGCAGGCATATAGATGATATTCAAGATTTTATAGAAATGCAAGAAAACAATGAAGTTCATTCAAATTTCAGAGAGATTTTTAGTGAAAAGGGCATGACCATAGAGAAATTCTAGGCATACTTTTAAGAAAGGTTCTTCCCTGATTTATGTTCACCATGGGGTAATAAAACTTTTAGTATTGGCAAGTTTGAATGAAAAATATATACATTTTTACACGGACATGTCTTTTCTGAAAATGACTTATTTGTGGGGCTCAAAGGGATATGAAATTCCAATTTATCAATAATCATTAAAATGGGACTTTGATGGTTAAGCCAACCTTAGTTCTTTATTAGCTGGTAGGTGCATTATTTGTATAATGCCACATGCTTTAACACAAGGCTAGAAGCATGACTAATGTCTTAAACCAGGTGAATACATGTAACTCAAATTAATTTAATAAATGTGACTAAGATGACTTCAAAAACCCACTCATGCTCATGCTTTGACACATGGTTAATATCATGACTAATGTCTGAAAAATCAGGTGAATTTGTGTAACTCAATTAACTTTAATGAATCTGACTAAGATGGCTTTAGACACCCACTCTTATGTCCTGCCTGTGGCAATAATTTTCTTTTGTCATACCTATTTTACATATTTTCTCTGTATAATTTGAATGAACCAGCTCAGTTTTAGTTTTTTCTAAACAATTTGGAATGTTAGCTACATGCCTGTTTACTTTATTCCTTGCTGATTCCACTTTTCGCCATTCTATTCATCATTGTAAAATACTACAATCATGTTATTTTCTCCCTGTCTTATTTAATACATGTCAGACAGACATCTGATGTTTATCGCAATTAACTGATGATGCATGTCATGCATCTTTTGACTTCATCATGAATACATACTGAGTCAACCATGTTGATTGGTCAATAATTTCAGTTATAAATTCTCCTTTTTGAGATAATAAATTGGGATTATTACTTTATTTTTGATTTAGTTACCAATTATATGGCAAACTTGGTGACAATAGCAGTGACTCACTTCCATTGGGGGACATTATACCATGTAGCGAGGGTGGAGCTTACACAATACTCCTGATCCGTGGGGATGCCAATGCTACATCAGGGGTGAGTGATTTGAATCGTTAGTTGTAACAATTATTATGAATCAGCCTTTGATAATGATTTACGATGTAGCATAAGATATCTAGGCGGGTTATACAATTTGCCAGCATCACATGTCATATTATGTGTTCATGCCAGGTTATACAATTTGCCTGGACCACGTGTCCATAATGTGCGTTCATGTTAGGTTATACAATTTGCCTGGACCACGTGTCCATAATGTGCGTTCATGTTAGGTTATACAATTTGCCTGCACCACGTGTCCATAATGTGCTTTCATGTTAGGTTATACAATTTGCCAACATCACATGTCCATAATGTGCTTTCATGTTAGGTTATTCAATTTGCCAACATCACATGTCCATAATGTGCTTTCATGTTAGGTTATACAATTTGCCTGCACCACGTGTCCATAATGTGCTTTCATGTTAGGTTATACAATTTGCCAACATGACATGTCCATAATGTGCTTTTATGTTAGGTTATACAATTTGCCTGCACCACATGTCCATAATGTGCTTTCATGTTAGGTTATACAATTTGCCAACATCACATGTCCATAATGTGCTTTCATGTTAGGTTATACAATTTGCCAACATCACATGTCCATAATGTGCTTTCATGCCAGGTTATACAATTTGCCAACATCACATGTCCATAATGTGCTTTCATGCCAGGTTATACAATTTGCCAACATGACATGTCCATAATGTGCTTTCATGTTAGGTTATACAATATGCCAGCATCACATGTCCATAATGTGTGTTCATGTTAGGTTATACAATTTGTTTGCACCACGTGTCCATAATGTGTGTTCATGTTAGGTTATACAATTTGTTTGCACCACGTGTCCATAATGTGCTTTCATGTTAGGTTATACAATTTGCCTGGACCACGTGTCCATAATGTGCTTTCATGTTAGGTTATACAATTTGCCTGGACCACGTGTCCATAATGTGCTTTCATGTTAGGTTATACAATTTGCCTGGACCACATGTCCATAATGTGCTTTCATGTTAGGTTATACAATTTGCCTGGACCACGTGTCCATAATGTGCTTTCATGTTAGGTTATACAATTTGCCTGCACCACGTGTCCATAATGTGCTTTCATGTTAGGTTATACAATTTGCCTGGACCACGTGTCCATAATGTGCGTTCATGTTAGGTTATACAATTTGCCAACATCACATGTCCATAATGTGCTTTCATGTTAGGTTATACAATTTGCCAACATGACATGTCCATAATGTGCTTTCATGTTAGGTTATACAATTTGCCTGGACCACATGTCCATAATGTGCTTTCATGTTAGGTTATACAATTTGCCTGGACCACGTGTCCATAATGTGCTTTCATGTTAGGTTATACAATTTGCCTGGACCACATGTCCATAATGTGCTTTCATGCCAGGTTATACAATTTGCCAACATCACATGTCCATAATGTGCTTTCATGTTAGGTTATACAATTTGCCAACATCACATGTCCATAATGTGCTTTCATGTTAGGTTATACAATTTGCCTGCACCACATGTCCATAATGTGCTTCCATGTTAGGTTATACAATTTGCCAACATCACATGTCCATAATGTGCGTTCATGTTAGGTTATACAATTTGCCTGCACCACATGTCCATAATGTGCTTTCATGTTAGGTTATACAATTTGCCTGCACCACATGTCCATAATGTGCTTTCATGTTAGGTTATACAATTTGCCTGCACCACATGTCCATAATGTGCTTCCATGTTAGGTTATACAATTTGCCTGCACCACATGTCCATAATGTGCTTTCATGTTAGGTTATACAATTTGCCAACATCACATGTCCATAATGTGCTTTCATGTTAGGTTATACAATTTGCCAACATCACATGTCCATAATGTGCTTTCATGCCAGGTTATACAATTTGCCAACATCACATGTCCATAATGTGCTTTCATGTTAGGTTATACAATTTGCCTGCACCACATGTCCATAATGTGCTTTCATGTTAGGTTATACAATTTGCCAACATCACATGTCCATAATGTGCTTTCATGCCAGGTTATACAATTTGCCAACATCACATGTCCATAATGTGCTTTCATGTTAGGTTATACAATTTGCCAACATCACATGTCCATAATGTGCTTTCATGTTAGGTTATACAATTTGCCAACATCACATGTCCATAATGTGCTTTTATGTTAGGTTATACAATTTGCCAACATCACATGTCCATAATGTGCTTTCATGTTAGGTTATACAATTTGCCTGCACCACGTGTCCATAATGTGCTTTCATGTTAGGTTATACAATTTGCCAACATCACATGTCCATAATGTGCTTTCATGTTAGGTTATACAATTTGCCAACATGACATGTCCATAATGTGCTTTCATGTTAGGTTATACAATTTGCCTGCACCACGTGTCCATAATGTGCTTTCATGTTAGGTTATACAATTTGCCTGCATCACATGTCCATAATGTGCTTTCATGTTAGGTTATACAATTTGCCAACATGACATGTCCATAATGTGCGTTCATGTTAGGTTATACAATTTGCCAACATGACATGTCCATAATGTGCGTTCATGTTAGGTTATACAATTTGCCTGCACCACATGTCCATAATGTGCGTTCAAGTTAGGTTATACAATTTGCCTGCACCACATGTCCATAATGTGCGTTCATGTTAGGTTATACAATTTGCCTGCACCACATGTCCATAATGTGCTTTCATGTTAGGTTATACAATTTGTCTGCATCACATGTCCATAATGTGCTTTCATGTTAGGTTATACACTTTGCCTGCATCACATGTCCATAATGTGCTTTCATGTTAGGTTATACAATTTGCCTGCATCACATGTCCATAATGTGCTTTCATGTTAGGTTATACAATTTGTCTGCATCACATGTCCATAATGTGCTTTCATGTTAGGTTATACAATTTGCCTGCATCACATGTCCATAATGTGCTTTCATGTTAGGTTATACAATTTGTCTGCATCACATGTCCATAATGTGCTTTCATGTTAGGTTATACAATTTGTTTGCACCACATGTCCATAATGTGCTTTCATGTTAGGTTATACAATTTGTTTGCACCACGTGTCCATAATGTGTGTTCATGTTAGGTTATACAATTTGCCTGCACCACATGTCCATAATGTGCGTTCATGTTAGGTTATACAATTTGCCTGCACCACATGTCCATAATGTGCTTTCATGTTAGGTTATACAATTTGCCTGCACCACATGTCCATAATGTGCTTTCATGTTAGGTTATACAATTTGCCTGGACCACGTGTCCATAATGTGCTTTCATGTTAGGTTATACAATTTGCCAACATGACATGTCCATAATGTGCTTTTATGTTAGGTTATACAATTTGCCTGGACCACGTGTCCATAATGTGCTTTCATGTTAGGTTATACAATTTGCCAACATGACATGTCCATAATGTGCGTTCATGTTAGGTTATACAATTTGCCTGCACCACATGTCCATAATGTGCTTCCATGTTAGGTTATACAATTTGTTTGCACCACATGTCCATAATGTGTGTTCATGTCAGGTTATACAATTTGCCAGCATTACCTTTCATAAGTGTGATCATGCTTAGGATTTTAGGATTGCACAAAATACTATTCAAATAAACATTGATGATCTTAAATTATTTAAAACTCAAAATGAATTACAACTGTATTAAAACCTCTTTCTGGTCATTATTTTACCAGTTTAATGATCTAGAAGAATTTGTAAACTATGTCTTAAAAGTGGGAAAATGAAGGAAATAAGCTAAATATGTAGTATTGTAAATGTAATGTGTACATTGGTAAAATCCCCCAAATTGGTTTCATTGTATTTGCAGTGAATGATCCATAAAGTAAACTTATTTGTTTTTGATATGTTCAGGTCTTGGAATTTGGTCTCTACAAGAGGTCAATGTTTTGTAGTTCACAATCAGAAGCTTTGCATGGGTAAACTCCCCCAAATTAATGTGATTGTATTGGCAAAGCATGATTTATAAAGTTATTTGTTTTTGATATGTTTAGGTCTTGGCAAACAAATTTGCCTTATACAAGACATTAATGTTTTGTAGTTCACAAACAGAATCTTTGCATTGGTAAACTTCCCCAAAGTCCCCCAAGATATTTGATACTATTTCCTATGAATTATCCATTATTTCAACTTATTTGTTGTTTAATGTTTTCAGGTCTTTGAACTCATTTTAGTTCCCAGACAGAATCTGTGCATTGGTAAACTCCCCCAGAGTAATATGACAGTATTTGCTCTGAATGACTTAATAATAATAATAATAATAATTGATGTTAAATAAAAAATAATCTATATATTTAATAAACATACTAATGTAATATCCGCTTCTGTTTTGTTTTTTACCATTTGATAATATTATTGATTCTCTTGCAAATTCTTGCAATAATCATACATGTTATTTAATTTTCAGATTTTACTGGTGTAAGTTTAACCATATTGTTGCTGTTAATATTTTTCAGGCAGATGACATTTGTACTTCATACATAATATTCTATGTAGTTTAACAAGGATTTGTAGGTTACTAGTTCCCACCATGTTGTAGGCTTATCGATATGTGTCTTAATATTTTCAGGCTGTCTCGGCTTTGTATAAGAAACCTAGTACCTCGTACCCATGTGTGTGGGACATGGTACACTCTTTGAAGGGTTCAATTTTTAAAATATAGAGATTATTCAATCTCCTGTGCTGAATTGTAGATGCATTAATGTACGCGTAGGCCTACATGCATGTTTTATATATCTAACATTTGTCTAGTAAGAAAATAATATGTTAAATAAAAAATAATCTATATATTTAATAAACATACTAATGTAATATCCGCTTCTGTTTTGTTTTTTACCATTTGATAATATTATTGATTCTCTTGCAAATTCTTGCAATAATCATACATGTTATTTAATTTTCAGATTTTACTGGTGTAAGTTTAACCATATTGTTGCTGTTAATATTTTTCAGGCAGATGACATTTGTACTTCATACATAATATTCTATGTAGTTTAACAAGGATTTGTAGGTTACTAGTTCCCACCATGTTGTAGGCTTATCGATATGTGTCTTAATATTTTCAGGCTGTCTCGGCTTTGTATAAGAAACCTAGTACCTCGTACCCATGTGTGTGGGACATGGTACACTCTTTGAAGGGTTCAATTTTTAAAATATAGAGATTATTCAATCTCCTGTGCTGAATTGTAGATGCATTAATGTACGCGTAGGCCTACATGCATGTTTTATATATCTAACATTTGTCTAGTAAGAAAATAAGGCCAGAGAAGAAAAATTGTTTATCTTTGCTATTGTATCCCTTGTCAAAATTGCGCTGTTGAAATGTTCGTTCATGATAGAAGCAATCTACACTAAAATTGTTTTTTTAATTGCTGGGTAATTCCAGGAAGTCATATAAAAGGTGTCACTATATTTCACAACTTTGTCTTTATGGGTGTACTGCTGTCCCCATCATTCCATTTGGAACCAAATAGAGACTTATCATCCACAGTTAAGCAAACAATTACACTTACATATTCAAAACTTTGACTAGATGAATTTCACAGTTCAAATACTATGAGTGTATTTAATATAATACATCTAAGTTAGCGTTAACTAAGATTGAGGTACGGTTTTTTTTATACAAAGCTTGTTGTCTCCCATATTTATGTAGATGTGACCTTCAATACGGCGTTTCTAAAGCTGTGTCAGTATTCAGGAAAATCCCATTTTTTAAGGTAAATGTATTGATGTGCATTGTCAATATACATTTTCAGGTCAACTTCCACATTCATGTATGTTGCCTCCAACACAGTTATTTATTTATTTTATTTATTTATTTGCCAAACACTTTTTTAACAGTGGCACAGTGGAAGAATTCCAGTGCAGCAGTTCATACAACAAAGAAACAATTGTCAAATAAGAAACCTTGGTCTTTACCCCAAATACTAAAAACAACATCTCCTAGTTCATATAAAGGAACATATGAAACATTCAAAAAATATTAAATACATCAGGTGAACAAGAGGTTTTGATTCTCTTGAGTATCTCTGTTTCTAAAGCTGTGTCAGTATACAGGAAAATCCCCACTTTGGTGTAAATGTATGTCTTGATGTGCATTGTCAATGTACATTTTCAGGTTGACTCGCACATTTATGTAGATGTTGCCTCCAATAAGGTGTCCATGTTCTGGCAGATTCCACAGTATGTGATGATCACAGCCGGAGAAATCCTCTTCTCAGTGACGGGACTTTCATTTGCATATTCCCAGGTAAGCTATTTAATTTACCTCTTGACGCGCAGAGAGGGAAAACTTAGATTTAAAAATTATGTTTTATGTGGCTTATGGGTCTTTGTTTACTGATAAATGTACTATGGGTATTTGTTGTATAAAATGGCAAAAAGTGGCAAGTATGGGAAACTGTCAGTGACTGTTCCTAGTTACTATTTACAATGTTTATTTGTGTTGCTTAGGTAGGACCTACATGTTTATTGTTCCTTGGTTACCAGTAATATTTGTATGTAGCCATTCCTTAATTACCAATTACATTGGTTGTTGCTGTTTCCTATTGACCACTTATATATCGTCTTTATTTTTCCTACTTCTCATTTCCATTTATATTGTCTCTTTGTGTTCCTTAGTCACTAACAATTCGATTATTGTCTGTGTATTTCCAAGTAATCTAACTGTAACGTAAGCTATGTTCTTGGCTATGGATTGTCGGAGTTTTACTGTTGACATGATACATCTTAGCCACTGTAAGAGACATATAGGAATCCATCATTATCTTTGAAATTATTGTCAACTTGTCCAATTGTATCACTCGATTCCAGAAAAATATTTTTAGCAAATAGGAAAATAGGTTTGTTAGACGTTAAATGTATTCTCTTTCGAATTATAAACATCAACTCCTCTATTTTACATTCAGCATGCAAGATAAATTTACGCCTTCTCATATCCTGGATTGTTGAACTGAGAGCTCGTTCTACAATTACAGGCACGCTAGTAGAATATTTCACCCTTTTCCGTGCAGATTCTTGGACTCTTTGCTCAAATGTATACTCTTTCTTAAATAGCATTTTTATTTTATAAATTGTATCACTAGTATATATTCAAATCCTTGACATTTTCTTACCACACAATTTGGTTGCATTTGCCAATACTGTATAAGGGTATATATGTATTAATAACAGTTCATTTTGGCACAATACATTGAAATATCATATACTGTACTTCTACTTAATTTGGTGCTATTTATTTTGGCGGATTTTTTACAATTTTAAAATGTATATACCATTTACAATTGAAATGTGGAATATTGAATTGGTGGCGACCTAATTTGGAGGACTTTGGCTGATCCGTTAAATTAAATCAGCCGCTAAATTAAGTAGAAGTACAGTACATATAATATGTTGTTGCCAAATTCATAAGATGATACATGTACTGTGAAGTTATGTAACTAACCGCAATTCACAAATATGATTTGATATCAAAACTTTAGGATTTTAGTATATCTGTACAAAACTTCCTAAAGGCATATTGATAACTCTAGAAATCTGTTAAGCTGGTATACCAGCAGTTCGGAGCACAAATAAAGTCAGATTATGTAATAACTGGATATCCCACACATTAGGATGGTTACATTGTGCAATATTGTTAACACATGTTTAGCCACTCTGTATCACTTTCTTGTCAGGGATCAGTTTCAAATGTTGACAGTTATGAAAAAATGAAATTATTTTGTTGTTTTTTACCTCTCTTGTTTCTTGTTGATTTGTTGTCTAGCGAATTTTACATTAGGCTGCATTTTTGTACATGCTTTTTTATGACCATGAGCGAGATTTTAATTCTAGAAATTAGATAGATTGTGGTTATATGTGTGAAATACTGCTGTGTAAAACCAAAAAAATATCACCATATCTGACGCAAATTCACTGGCACCCAGTTAGTTGACAGATGATCACTATTTTTTGTGACAACATATTATCAAATGTAATAATTTTGATTTAATTTCCTGCGATGAAATTGTCTCATTGGTCTCATTTTAAAGTTGAATTAGCAAGGAATAAAGTAAACAGGCATGTAGTCGATACTCTAAATTATATATAAGAAGTCTAAAAATCAACTAGTCATCAAGATTTTCGTGAGAAAATCTGTAAAAAGTGTGAACAAAGAGAATTTTGGAGAAAATGATCATTTTTGTTATGTCTAAAATATATTTGTTATTCTTACAGGAAATGCTTCTTTTTTGTTATGTCTATCACTTATTTTAAGACAAAATTATTAAAAAATAATATCATGATATTACTATTATAAAGTTCACAAAGTTCGGTTTCTTAAAGAACCCCGTCAATGGAATCTGGGATCAAATCATAGATCACCAAATGATTCACTGTGTAGACCTTATAGCATTAATCATAGGCTAAGCTTGTATTTTCGGGAATGCAAATAGTGGCTACCGCCTAGCGGGTTGATTGGAATTTGATGGCAAACTCATTTAGATATGAATAGTACCTGCCGTTAGTTGCCACCTCTCGGCCCAAACCCAGTAGCTGAGGTAAATAAGGATTTAATCTGGTTATTAAAGCAGCAATTAACACAGACTATCGAGGTGTTCGGAATTGTAAATAGCGGAAGTACACCTTCACCTGGCGCATGCGCATAGACGCAAAACACATTTTAAGTTTGTTTGATCATGTGACAATGGCATAAAAAGTCACGCGATCACTGTTAGTCAACAAACGGGTTGTTCGATATAGCAACTTCAAACTGACGGATTAATTTATGCAAAGCAATTGGTTAATCCGGTAGCCGGTAGTCGCTATTTACATTCGCGAATACAAGCTTAATCATAGCTATCCGTGAGGTTTGAATTTGATGATTTCATAATTTTATTGCGTTTTGTAGACAACTGAGACTTTCATAATCTATTAGAATATCACTCATATCAATAACAAATAATATTAACCTCAATCAGAAAATTTGCCTCAATCACTTTGCCTCAGTTGCCTCATTGCAGTTACAGGCTTATCTATTTAATTATAAAATGTTTTTCCTAACTGGTTTACCCGACAAATATTTCATTTAACCTTGTCAAACTTTATTATCTGAATTATTGTTTGTATTATACGTATAAAGTAAATTATTATAAAAAACATTTCATTTCAATTCCTCTCATATGTTTCATGAAGAGTGTTATAGACCAATCAAATCACAGACAGTTGACAATGACTCTAAAGGCTCTAAAGCCCAGTTTACACTGACAGATCTTTTCCTCTAGAGACTGGTAATGACCGAAAGTCTCTTTTCATGATAGCCCAATGAGTTCTCCTGAGACCTTTGGAGTCCGATGGAGTCCTGTCGAGATCGATCGAGACAGGTGGAGTCCTGTCAAGTCCAATGAAATCCCCTCTGACCGTGTGACATCATGTATGAAGGCCTCACTTACCATAGAAGTATCACGTCACCAGGTTTTAACAAAAAAAGATAGATGAAGACCTGTGAAAGAATGAAACTGCTCATTCCACTAAAAGACTGGCGGTCTTTTTGAAGCGGTCTCAATCGGACTTCACCTGACTCAACAGGATCCCATCAGATTTTTAAAAAGGCCAATCAAGACTGGCAAAAGTACCGTGAAGTCCGACCTAAAGTTACTCTCAAGACTGGCAAAAGAATACCGGTCTATTCTCCCATTGGAAATATACAGGGGATCAAAAAAGAACTGGTCAGTGTAAACAATGCTTTAGAGGTGTTGTCAAAATTGTCTCCATTCAGGATAAAATCAAAGATTGATGAAAGTCATCAATTTATGAGAAATGAAAATCTTAGAAGACAATTGAATTCGCAAAGCATAACTGACAATGTTTTCAAGAAACTAACTCTAGAGAAATTCTAGTACAGAAAAACTCGTTAAGAATGTTTGATTGTAACAGTCATAGGTAATGGAATTTATAAATCATAACATGGAACAAGTGCAACATTCTTTAATGTCCTTGGCAATTTTGCAAAAAACAACAACTGTAGGAATCTGCCTGTTTTATACTGTTAATGAAACACATATTATCATATTACAATGTTATATAATGTTTTTTTGTCTATTGTATGTTGCAGGCACCTGCTAGCATGAAGTCTGTCTTAATGTCAAACTGGTTGTTGACAACAGCCTTTGGTAATCTTATTGTACTCGTCATTGCGGAGGCACAGTTCTTCGAATCTCAGGTCAGTTTTCACTGTAACCGTACTTACAATCCTAGGGTACTAGTATCCTAGAGAAGCTACCTAGAAAATCCCAGGGTATCCTAGAGAAGCTGCCAAGAGTCTAGGGTATCCTAGAGAATCCGAGTGTATTCTAGAGAATCCCAGGGTATGAGAAATAACAATGTTATGAAATCAAATAATAAGAAGCTGCTTGGTCACATAATAAAAGCAAAAGGCACATGTTAGGCGTATCTGAGCACGTTGTTTGTTTAAATATAATTAACCTGAGATGGTTTTATTCATCAAAGTTATAAAATTGAGTGATAAATATTTTATTATATCATGAATATATGAGGCCTTGGTTTATTGTCTTTTGATGACAAAATTGAGTGAGAAAATCATAATGGTCGGTCCAGGGTTTACCTTGCTCCATTACAACTTTTGTGGGTTTTTTGTTCTGATTCCATTTTACCTAAAAAATAGATACGTAATTGTTGTTGTAGTTATCTATATTTATATGAATCATAAAATGATCACTGGGGAATTTTGAACGTGGATGATCTTTGGAAAGGAAAATTTGGCTTTTGTGTCATGAATGAATTAGTACTCAACCTATTCAGAGTTTTTTGTACATTTAGAAACAACAGTTACTTCGATTGTTTGATCTGTATGTGGGATGTTTGAATGTGGTTTGGGTTCCTTATGACTGGTTATACTTTGCTCATCAATGCTCCTTTTCTATCTGAATCTTTCCTTACACTTATACTTACACTTATTACACTTGTACTTTGACATTTACATTAAGGCTCAATATATAAAGTAAAATAAAACTGAAAAGAGTGAATCGAGTAGGAATAAATTCAACAGGGATGCAGTCAATTCAATACCCTAAATTATAGAGAAATACAAAAATAGAATTATCTTATGACTATGAAATACTCTGAATGTATTTCACATGCATCTTGTTTTTCAAATACATAATGGAGAAATCAGGAGGGCATAGATTTGATTCAAGATATACCTAAGTTTTCTCTGCCTTTTCCTATTCTGCTCTATTTCTTTCTATTTGAATTAATAAACTAGCAGATTTTTTGGCATTTCTATACAATTCAAAGCATTAGCTATATGCATTATTACTTTATTCATTACTGAATTCATTCTATTCCACCCTATTTCAGATTTTAAAACACTGCCATGATGTTACTTGTCTCAATTTAAATTTTCATATTTTATGTTTCCAGACTGCAGAGTTTTTCATGTTCGCCACATTGATGTTAGTTGTCACGGTGATATTTGCCGTCATGACCTGTTTCTACACATACGTCACACCACCAGTAACTGAAGTACAGCAGCTAGATGACCTTAGTAGCCCAGATAAATCTGACACATCTGATAAAGAAGGAGAATCATTGACTAGTAACTTTGATGCACAAAAAAGGAACATTCCTAAATATACCGATGAATCTCCACAATGATAGCTATTATAGAAAAAATACATATAGCACTATATCTAGGATACAATATGAAATAGTAATAAGTGAAAAAATAAAAAATGGTATTTAGAATAAGAAATAATTTTAGTATAGATATAAACACTTTTAGGCATGAATCATAGCTTTGAAATTGCTATGAATTAAAATAGTGATAGTTGTCACTAAACAATGCAATAGCTATAAATTACGACAGAGACAGCTGTAAATAAGGGTGTAATAGTTATGAATTACTGCATTAATATTTTTGACTCATAATGAAATATTTTTGATTAACCATGGAGAAAGCTGAAAGATGGCTATAATGGATAGTATTTCTCATTTTATCAATCACCATGTTGTTACAAGTTACTAAATACAGTAAAACCTGTCATATCTGAACACCACTGGGACCGTCCAAAAGTTTTTGAATAAACATTTCTTGGTTTTCATTTCATATGTGAGTCAATTGTGATACTACAAAAACTGTTCACCTGAAGTGATATTCAGATAAGAGCCATGTTTGGATATACAGGTTTTATTGTACTTGAATAGCTCTAAATCTACAAAAGTAGCCATATACAGTAAAACCTGCCTATATTGAACATTGTTTTGCCAAGAATAAATGTTCAGTGTTGGTGGTAGGTGTTCACTATAGAGAGGGGGACTTATACAGAAGTCAGGAGAGTGTGTGTGGAGGAAGGGTGTCCACAAATAGGGACATGTGTTCACTAAGGTAGGGACAGGTGTTCCTAGGTGAGTGGTGTTCACTAGAGAGAGGTGTTCATTAAGACAGGTTTTACTGTAGTGTGATAGTCATGAATTTTTGAGATGAACACAAAACTGTAATATTAAGAATCTCAGAAAGTAGCGATGGATATTTAATATTTAATGCTATTAAATAGCACTGGTAGCTGTAATTAATCAAATATTTTTTTTATTAATGATTTATTTCCATAGAAAAATATAGATATAACATACACGTATTTGCAGCTTTGCAAAACTGTATTATAGGCCACATTTGGATTTTGAAATTTGAAAAATAATAATCAGTATAGGGTAGAGAAGTGAATTCTAAAGATGATCACTTGAATAAGAGATTTCCCATTCATATATTTATTTATGATTTTTGTTATTATCATAACAGAATTATTAAAGTAAGTTGTTCAAGGTTCCTGTATTTCTTTATTAATTTTATTGTATCCAGAGTGTGGGGATTTTTCTATATTAAAGTTTTGGGTCAGCATTTATAACAGAGGGATGGAGGGAACACCTCCATTTGTCCGTCCGGGCAATAACTCAAATACCATTCGCCCGATTTCGTTCATATTTTGTACACATATACCCTTTGGGAGTAGAAAATCTTCTGGAAGGCCAATTAGTACGAAAGTACAATATGTAAAACTGTAATTGCAATATGTTTTAAATGTGAAAAAATTATATTGGACATTAATAAAGATAGAATTGTAGATATTTAAGAAACATATGGCAGCCATCTTAAAAAATGGCGCCCTTTGCATGCTATTTTACGATTTTTTCTGTAACTTGAAAAGTAGTGGGATGATTTTGGTCATATTTAATATCTGAATACTTATAAGCGTGGCACACTGTCTCATGACGTTTTGGCTAGTAGGTGGCCATTTTCAAAAATGGCTGCCATTTACATGTATGAGTGTGCAATTTTGTTGAAATTTTATATGTGCCCACTCAGAAGCATATTGCACTTCCTGATTTGGTTTGTGAGCAACCATTTTGAAAATGGTGGCCATTTTTTGTGTGTTATTTTACAATTTTTCTAAATACTTCATTTGTAAAAATGCCAGCCATGCCTGTTCAATGGGATTTGCTACGCTTTGGTGTTGCTGCTGTCTAGTTGCATTTTTGCACATATTATATTTTATTTGTATTGTAGTAACCACTTGTTAACTGATATGGTCTTATAAGGCCCACACAGGGGTTTTTATGAATAATTTATGTATCTGTATTTATTAAGTTATGAGGTTAACCTACACTTTAAGAGAACTTGTACAGGAATGTGTAGAATTGTGGTCCTTTAGGAATTAGTTGTCCCCTTCGTAGTCTTTACTTCTCTGGGGATCGAGTTTAAAGATAAAGGCATAAGGAAAAGAGTTGTAATTTTGTCCATTGAAAAACAAAATGAGACACATTCAAGTTTTCTTTAAAATGTGTAGCTTAAAGATTTTGCACTAATAGCTTAGTATTGTTAGGATTATAGTCATGTGGACATGCTCATACCTAGTAGATATGATTGGCTAGTTGTTGTCACATGACCATTTCATTTCTCTGAATTGTAAGTAAATAAAAGTACATTTGTGCATATTCGCTTAATATATACAGGGTGTTTCATAATGGACATTCCCACACCAACAGTCAATCCTAAATCACATGGCTCCATAATCTATATACCTTGCATGATAAAGCTTATTGGACTTAAGTTCCAAATATTAGCATGACTCGTAATTGTAAACTTATGTTTCGAAGTCACTATCCCCTCAATTTGCATGATTTCAGGCTGTACTATTCCTGTTGGATCTAGAGAGGGGCAGATCGCTATATAATTCATAGTATCATCTATAGCTCTCTGTGTATTTCTTTGAAATACTTAATACTTTTGTTTTTCAAATATCATTCCGATATATCCTCAGCATTCATCAAATGAATCCACTAGTCTAGTGGAATATCATCTTGTGAAAGTGTCACAGGTATTCCCTGAAAATAGAATTAAATGTTTGTTTTATTATTTACTCACATTAATGGAATATTGAATAACAAACTATTGATGTCTAATTAATCATATTGTACTCCCGGGGATATATAAAATTAAAATTACACTGGACTAAGTTGTGACTGGTGAATATCATTTTATATTCATCGGAAGTCACGCAACTTCCGTTGAATGTCGCTTTTTATTTTTTAGTCACTTGTAGGACATGGACCAATCAGAGAGTGAGGAATATGAAAGTGATATAATAATATTTTAAAATATTTATTAGGAATAGTGAATTAAAAATTGTTGTTGATGTAATAATGAATGAGTTGGATTCTCTTGCGCCAGTTAATAAAGCAGTTACACTGAGTTTATTAAGCAAACTGATGAATAGCACGAGTCTTATGAGAAAACATTCTCAATTTTTTATTCATTATTGCAATTCAACTATTTGCACTTTCTTCACAAAAATGAGATACATAAAAATTATATGGAGATATATTGTGTGCTTGAGGTCATATCAGTCTGACCTCGGAATTACATCACCATATTGATTCATGAATCCAGACATGGAACTAATTCAAAGATTTGAATGAATACTGCACTTATTCACCACATATTGTTCTTTGTTGAGTTATAATGAACAGTAAATACTCAATTTTATTGGTTGAGAATATTAGGCCATGGAGATTTGAATACGTTTTTTAAATTTTATTTTAATGAACTTTCGTGATAATAGGTCCATGCGTTTTATTCCAATCTATTTCAACATTGGGCATTTTGGATAGAAAAATGCCCTCTTTTCAAAGGCACATGAGACTCTTTTTGAATCCTCTCAAAAATGCCTAGTAGATGAATTATCCAAAAAAAGATTCATTGAAATTACCGATGTTAATAATAAAAAACTGAAATGTGCTATGTGATTACTGCTGTTCACTTACATGATTTTCGCAATCACGTGTACCATGAAGAGACTTTAATCAATCAACGATTGGCTCTTTTAATTCGTAAAAACATTCCATGGACAGAAAATGCTCTATAAAATGGCACCTTTCACATGTTAGCAGAATTGTGATGAAAGGGTTTGATTTTTTGATTTGTTAATCTGTTTTTTGATCCATGTACTTCTAGTGAGAAAATCATGGTAGCAATTTCAAACTATTCAATAATATTACTTATGCTTTGAAATTTATGTTTGCAGAAGTAAACCTTCTGGGTCCATTTTTTAAATAATTTCTGCTAAATGGACACTGAACATACAGGGGCCTTATATTATATGATATTATATTATATTACATTATATTATATTACATTGTATTATATTATATTACATTGTTATATTATATTATATTATATTATACAAGTATTATGTATCCAGTTATTCCACAGTGATACATCATCAATATTTAGCAACTTTGTATTTTATTTATTGACATATTGAAAAGTAGAAATTATATTTATTTGAAAAAACACTGATGCAAGAAAGTATGTTATATGTATACCAAAATCTTTGTTATTTAACTGAGTCAGTAAAATGTTGGACTAAGCAGCATCGTTGTATTGTGAATGAACAGAGTCTGTGGGGTTGCAGCCAAGATCTGAAAATTAATAAGGTAAAATTTGATAAGGCAAATCTATTTTTAAGGAGGTATTGGATTTTATTTTTTAGGGCTTAAAGGCATACAACATATAGCTGACAAAATGGTTAAAAAACATTTTCTCAGGCTTTAGAGTCGATTTCATGGTTTAAAACCTCTGGTGATTCTATTTTCGAACTATGCATGAAAGTCCATTCAAAGTCACCTATTGAACCTTGAAAAGCGATATTTAGACTGAGGATCGAAAGGTGTTCACGACAACATTCAGCTCATCTTTATTACGACAGACCGAAAGTGAATTTTCGAGTCGAGTAAATGGTGATAATGTTCTTTTTTATGAATTCAAAACATTACTAATAAAAATCATAGTAAGCATTAGAAGATCATTTAGAAGTATTTAACATACCTATTTTCTTAAAATGTATGGATAAACTATCAATTTCAGCATTAAGAAGTGTAAATTCAGTTCAAAGTTTCTATAAAGGGAGTCCCACTTACAGATTTTTTTAAATATCTGCCATGTTTTAAGAGGAATATCAGCTGAAATAATGTTCATCTCGGGGGTTCCTTTGTAGATAATAAAAATATGGTTTTCTTGATGAAATATCCAAACTTAGATATATTTTGACACTGGTCCATGATCATTGAATGGCCCCTCTGGACTAATTGTTGCACCTTTAAGTTGAAAAAATGCCTGAAATAATACATTTCTATAAATATATGGTGAGCCAGCTGCCTTGCATGCCTCAAACCTCACCCAAGGCCTGGTTATAATTGTTCAGATTTTAACCAATTACTGTAGCCACGGCTATGGTTACAAGATGCGCATAACAGTTTTGTATATATTGACAACTCTAATAAGTACTGTTAACTAACCTGAGTAGGATGGTTGGGTTGACTTGAAACTTAAGTAACTTATGTAAGCTTATGTTATATAAAACGAGCATCTTATGCACATTTCATACAAGCATTAAAATTTAAGCTATTCATTGGTTTTGATGTCTCTAAAACAATTAAAGTGGTAAAGATGAAACTTCTCATTTTCTTGTTGCTATAGCAACACCATCCAGGTACAAACACCAAGAGAATGTTCATCATTGCAATTACTGATATGTGATAATTGTGCATATATTATTAATTATTCTTATTTTATATATATAGTATAAGTACACAAACACTTCATACAATCCTCTCGACATCCAGGGCAATTGAAAACCATTTCTTGGAATCGCTTTGCCACATTTGATACTCTT